CACTCCAGAGACAACCGCTTTAAACTCATACGTTGTGATTACTGCAACATAAAGGGACACCTCAAATAGAACTACTATAAGCTCATTGGTTATCCTGCAGATTTAAAAGGCAAGAAGAAAGGAGTTGCAATAAACGACAATTTGGCATAAGAAGCTAAATCTGCACAGGGCAATAACTCTGCACTTTCTCTACCCGCAATGTTCACTCAAGAGCAGTATAATCAGATTCTCAACATACTGAATAAGACCTCTATTACTGATGTCAATGCTTACATGGCAGGTATTTCCCTTCCTTTTCATAGACCTAGTTCTAGTCCTAAATGGATAGTAGACAGTGGTGCTACTAATCATATGGTTAGTGATGTGCACCTGTTATTGGATGGTCTTAAAGTAAGAAACAAAGGACTACTGCAGATGCCAACTAGTGACTTTGCTCAAATTACACATGTTAGAAATTGCTCTTTGACTGGAGGTGAAGTGATTGGTGCCGAATTTCAAATTTAATCTTCTCTCCGTGTCTAAAGCGACTAGAATCTGATGTGTTTTGTAGCCTTCTACCCTAATTTTTATCTATTTCGGGATCTCTTTACTGGGAAGTTGAATGTGATTGGTTAAGAACATGGAGGTTTGTAGATCTTGCAGACACAGGAAAAAATAATAGTTGATAAGCAAAATAAATCTATAGTTGTACAGAAAATGAATGATATCTGCAGTGTGACACAAAAGGATGGGACATGTACCAATGGCTGTCTTGAGACGAATTCCTGATTTTCAAAATAAGTTTCACTTTCATTTAGTCATTGTGATATATGTCCCTTAGCTTGACAAGCTAGAGCTCCATTTCCTAGTAGTACTACTAACGTAGTAGAATCTTTCCAATTGGTTCATCTTGATGTGTGAAGTCCTTATAAGTCTCCTACTTATGATGGAATGAGATATTTTCTTACTATTGTACATAATCACTCTAGATGGACTTTGACATTTATGATGAGAGTTAAATGTGATGTCTCTGATTTATTGAAATCTTTTATTGCTACGATTTTTAATAAGTTTGAGTACAAAATAAAGATATATCAGTCAGATAATGATTTTGAGTTTTTCAAAGGTGGTAGTTTGTTTAGATTTCATGTGATCATCCATCAGAGTTCGTTCCCCTATACTCCTCACCAAAATGGAGTGATAGAGAGGAGTATCGACATATCCTTGAAATAGCAAGGGCCATTAAGTTTCAAGGGAACTTACCTGCTAGGTTTTGGGATGTTGTATTGAGGCAGCAGTCTATGTTATTAATAGAGTTCCATCTGCAATCTTAGTGTCACGACCCCGAAACCAACCTATCGTGATGACGCCTATCATGGTACTAGGCAAGACGAGTACTCAAACTTCCAACACTTTTAATCTTTGAAATATACTAAGACAATTTAAATAAATAAAATCTCATAAACCATGATAGAATATCATAACTCAATATATAAGTTTTCCCTAAACCGGGGTGTCACTGAGTACATGAGCATCTAAATAATGACGTAATCTAGTACACTGTCTGGAAAGTAGAACTGAAATAATAAACTGGAAGATAGGGGGAGAGTCAAGGTCTGCGGACGCTAGGCAGCTACCTCGATGATCTCTGAATATCTGAACTCTGCGAATCAGCAACCGCCACGATCGGAAACACCTGGATCTGCACACGAGGTGCAGGTTGTAGCGTGAGTACAACCAACTCAATAAGTAATAAATCTAATCTTTGGACTAAAAGTAGTGATGAGTTTGAGTAATACATTCCACATGCGGTATTAACAGAATAGAAACTTACAACAAATATTACAGTAATATCTCAAACATTTATAATCTACAAGTAAAGGTACACAAATTTAGACATGCTTTCAGGTTTTGTAATAAAACTCAACATATAACAAGGCAGATCCAGCCCAGGGAAGATCCATCCGTAAATGTAAATAGCTGCTAGCATTGAGCCTACTGTGGATATACAGACTCCAGTGGGTGTCGATCCAGCCCAAGCGCTATAATAAGCCAAATCCTGACATAAATCAACAAAGCCTGCTGCGGCATGCAGCCCAATCCCATGAATATCACTCACAATAGACCCTGAATCTCACTCAATCATTAATCTCCCCACTCTCTCAGGCTCACCAGTATCATGATAATCAGTCCAAGCAATGACGATATGATGTATAAAATAAAAGATAGCAGAGACTGAGACATATTATGCAAATAATAGCTGCGACTAAGTACAATTTGACAAATTAAGCAAATAATTCAACATATAAAACGACCTTTGTGGGTCCCAACCGTACCAACACGGAGCCTAAGCAGAATTTCTAACATGACTGGCAGCTCAATTGCTGAAACACATGGTGAAAATACGAGTAACAACAAGATTATTCAGTTATACAGTTCCATGGAGTCGACCAATTCACAATTCTTACGGTGCACGCCCACACACTCGTCACTTAGCATGTGTGTCATCTCAATACAAATCACATAACACGAAACTCGAGGTTTCGTACCTTCAGAGCCAAGTTTAGAAGTGTTACTTATCTCAAACTATGCAAAACTCTATTCCAACATGCCTTTACCTCGCGAAACAGCCTACGAATGCTTCGAATCTAGCCACAAACAATACGATATGATCAACTCAATCTATATGAATCAATTCCATATACAAATGCTAAGTTCTTAAACAGAATTCCAAAAGTTATTTCAAAAGTCAACCTCCGGGCCCACGTCTCGGAATCCGATAAAAGTCACAAAATTTGAACACCCATTCCACCACGAGTCCACCCATACCAAAATTACTCCAATCCGATAATAAAATCTTGATCAAATCCCCAAAATTCAGCCTAAGAACTTTCCTCCATTTTTCCCAATTGTCCAACACAAATCACAAATTAAATGTGGAAATCAAAAGCATAAACATGGAATTTAACCAAAACTAAGTAAGAATCAGTTACCCCAATTACTCCCTTGAAAATCACTCCATGAATCGCCAACCACCGAGCTCCCAAAATCAGATTTGTGTTATGAACTCAGACCCTCAGTTTTGAGATTTAATATTCTGCTCAAAGTCCTCAATAGCGATCGCGGAAATACCATCGCGATCGTGAAGCACAACTCAACAACCCAGAAATTTTACCCTACGCGAACGTGAAGATGTCCACGCCAACGCGGTGAACTACCTCCTCAACATACCCGATCGCGTCCCTTTTCACGCGATCACGAAGAACATAGTGTGACCTCAATTGCTGCTTCACTTCCTCTTCGCGAACGCGGCCTACCCCACGCATTCGCGATGCACTGACTCCTCCAGTTTACGTGATCGCATAACACAACTGGTGATCGCATAGAACAAAATACCTTAGTTTACCCAATTAGCCCACGCGACCGCGGACCTTCCCACCCGATCGGGTACAAGGAAATCAGACACAGACACCAGAAAACTTCAGCACATCTCTAAGTCCAAAAATTGATCCGTCAACCATCCAAAACTCACCTGAGGCCCTCGGGACCTCTACCAAATAATACCAACAAGTCCTAAAATATGATACAAACTTAGTCAAACCTTTAAATCACCTCAAACAACGCTAAAACCACGAATCGCGTATCGATTCAAGCCTAATGAGCTTTCAACTTCTGCATTCGATGTCGAAACCTATCAAATCAAGTCCGATTGACCTAAAATTTTGCTCACAAGTCACAAATGACAGAATGAACCTACTCCAAATCCCGAAACCCCAATCCGAGCCTAGTAACCATAAAGTCAACTCTCGGTCAAATTTCTAAATTTCTAAAGGTTTTAATTTTTTAACTTTCGTCATTTCAAGCCTAATTCAACTACGGACCTCCAAATCACTATCCGGACACACTCCTAAGTCCAAAAATACCCAACAGAGCTAACATAATCATCAAAACTCCATTACGGATTCGTTTACATATAAATCAACATCCGGTTAGCCTTTTCAACTTAAGCTTCCAACCTTAAGACTAAGTGTCTCAACTCATTCCGAAATATCTTCGGACTTGAACCAACTACCCCGACAAGTCATATAATAACAATTAAGTAGGGAACGAGCAGTAAATGGGGGAACTTGGCTACAACTCTCAAAACGACCAGCCGAGTCGTTACACTTGGTTGAATAGGTCATTAGTTGGGATGTTGTATCACAAGTAACCCTCTTTGTCTCATATATGTGTGATAGGGTGTTTGTTATACTTATACATTACCTAGGAAGGACAATTTAGTCCTAGAGACATCAAGTCTGTTTTGTTTGGTTATGGTGTGTTTCAGAAGAATTATAAGCTGCTTGATCTAGATAGCAAAGTTATACTCATTAGTAGGGATGTGGTATTTCATGAGTCTATCTTTTCTTTCGAACTCTCAAATGTTATAAGCCCATCTCCACCTAGGGTGACAATTGATAATGAAGTTTCTATTCTCGAGCCTGCTTTGGGTAGTCCTCCAGTTGATGAATTATTTTTATTAGTACTATCAACATACTAGTTCACCAGTTATGGAATCCTCTGCAAAGTTCCTCCCCACCTGAACTTACCTCAAGAAGGTCCAACATACCTTCAAATCCTCCTATCTGGTTGAAAGACTATGTTGTTCCAACTCATAAAGATGCAGCCTATACCTGTTTATATCCTATTTCAGATGTGCGGAACTATGATCAGCTATTAGCCAAGTACAAGAGTTTTCTTACAATATTCTCAGCCAAACAACCCCTCAAACAGATGCTCAAGCATCTAAAGATCCAATATGGATTGATGCAATGCAGACATAGATTAAAGCATTTGAAGAAAATCACATTTGGGAGATTATCCCACTGCTAGAGGTAAAAAGAGCAATTGGTTGTATGTGCATTTACAAAATTAAGTACAAGGCCACAATGGAAGTTTAAAAATTCAAGACTAGACTTGTAGCCAAAGGATATAGCCAACAGAAGGGATTGGATAACCAAGAAACTTTATCACCTGTGAAAATGGTAACTGTCAAAGCTGTCATCTCTCTAGTTGTAGCCAAATATTGGAACAGTCATCAAATAGATGTTATAATGCTTTCTACAGGGTAATTTGAATGATGACGTTTACATGACTTTGCCTCAAGGATTCAATCACAAACAAGGGAAGATGCAGGTGTGCAGATTACTCGAATCACCATATGGACTCAAACAAGCATATCGACAATGGAATATCAAACTTACAATTGCCTTATTATCTTTTGGTTTTGTTCAGAGTCATCTCGACTATTCTTTCTTCACTAAACAGCTAAATGAGAAGATTATAGTAGTTCTTATTTATGTAGATGATCTGTTAATTACTGGGGAGGATACATCCTTGATTCAGACGATAAAAGACTACATGCAACAAAGATTAAAGATTAAGGAAACTATTTAGGAAGGATATCCCTTTTCATTGAGATCAGTCATGTCAAAATGCTTTCGAAAACATTAAAAGATACTTGTTGAATCCACCTGTGTTAGGGGCACCAGTGCTTGGGAAGCCATTGATACTCTACATTATGGCACAAGAACGCTCACTTGGGGCACTACTTGCTCAAGAGAATGATGAAGGAAAGGAACAAGCCTTGTACTACCTCAGTCGAACTCTGATAGGAGCTGAGTTGAACTACACGCGTGTTGAGAAAATATGCTTAGCGTTACTTTATGCAATAAAGAAACTAAGGCATTATTTTGAAGCATACACCATCAAACTCATCTCTCGAGAAGATCCTGTGAAGTTCGTGATGACTCGACCTGTTCTTTATGGACGCCTAGCAAGATGGTCCATATTGTTTAACCAATATGAGATCACATACACACCTCAAAAGGTTGTGAAAGGACAAGCACTCGCCGATTTTCTAGTCGATCACCATCTTCCGACGGAATGGGAGATTTCTGATGAGCTTCCAGATGAAGACGTTTTGTTCGTTGAAGAATTTCCACCATGGACAATGTTCTTTGATGGATCCTCATGTCGGGATGGTGCAGGGGTAGGTGCTGTGTTGGTCTCTCCAGATAGACAAATCTTGCCATTCTTCTTTGTTTTAGGTGAAACATGCTCCAACAATGCTACAGAGTACCAAGCTTTGTTCATCGATCTTGAAATGGCATTAGACATGAAAATTCTACAGTTGGAGATATACGACGACTCTAAGTTGATCATCAACCAACTTTTGGGGATTTACGATGTAAAGAAGGAAGATCTTTTGCCATACCACCAATATGCTTATTGTTTACTCGAAAGATTCGGCCAAGTGTTCTTAAACCACGTCCCAAGAGAAGAAAAGCGCATGGCTGATGCTTTGGCTAACTTGGCCACGACGATGGCACTTGGAGAGAATGAGTCAACAAAGGTACATGTGTGTCATTGATGGGTCATTCCTAGACTTCTTGATCATCAAATCAACGAAAGTCGTCATACGTCCGTTGGGGTGATTGAAGAAGAGGATTGAAGGCAACCATTGATAGAGTACCATGAACATGGAATGCTACCCAAGTATCCGCTGCAAAGAATAGACATCAAGCGAAGGGCACCACAATTTATCTTCTACAAGGGGAAATTATTTCGCCTCTCTTTTGAAGGTCTATTCTTGCGATGTCTGGACAAAGAAGAAGCCCACCAAGCGATGGAAGAAGCACATTATGGCTCATATGGAGCACACAAATCTGGTCTTAAGCTCCATTTTTGCATCAAGAGGATGGGCTACTACTGGCCGACGATGGTGAAGGATTGCATGGAACATTCCAAAATATTTCAAGTGTGTTAATTCCACGCCAACTATATCCACCAACCTCCAGAGCCTCTTCATCCAATTGTAGCTTCATGGCCTTTTGATATATGTGGACTTGACATTGTTGGACTGCTTCCAAAGTCATCAAAGGGACATATGTACATATTGGCTGCCACAGATTACTTCTCTAGATGGGATGAAGTTGTTCCACTCAAGGAAGTATAAAAGGAAACTGTTGCCGATTATATCAAGTCAAACATAATTTTTATGTACGGCATACCAAAATACATAATCACGAATAATGGAACGCCATTTGACAACAAGCTCTTGAGGAGTCTATGCGAGAAATTTGGTTTCAAGCAACATAAGTCTTCAATGTTTAATGCACCCGCCAATGGCCTTGCAGAAACTTTTAACAAGATGCTTAGTAATATTTTTAAGAAATTTGTTGCAAAGAACAAGAGTGACTGGCATGAGAAAATTGGTGAAGCTTTGTGGGCATACCAGACAACCTTCAGAACTACTACACAAGCAACTCATTACTCTTTGGTGTATGGCGTAGAAGCAGTCCTTCCATTTGAGCAAAAAATTCCATCATTGCGGATCACAATCCAAGAAGGACTCACGTCCGAAGAGAATGCTCAACTTCGCCTAGCAGAGTTAGAGGCATTGGATGAGAAAAGATTGGAAGAGCAACAAATATTGGAGTGCTATTGTTACACCCTGTACGTCCCAAGATGATGTATAATGAATATGAGACTTGTTAATCATGATTTAAATGAGTTTAAAGTAATAATATAACTATATACGATGTTTGGATAAATCACATAAAGTTTGGGAAAAATCGGATTAAAGTTGCGGAAAAACCGACTAAGAATTTGTCCTATAATAGAGCTTTTTGAGAAATACATTTCATGTGCTATATGAGGTCTTTTTCCAACATATTATACACCAAATTGAAGGTATTGGAATTTATTTTCCAACGCTCTTAACCGCTCATTTATACGATATCCGGATAAAAAGATATAAGTGTCAGAAGATGGGCGAATGAGAGGGTGCCAAGTTAGCACCTTTTAACTTTTCAAAAGTTTGATAAATATGTTTTAACTCGTCTCTCTCTATTCATTTTACTTAGAATCTGACCAGAGGAACCATAAAAAAAACAGTCCTTGAGCTCTCTAATAGCTTCAAATTATTCTAACATCCCGGGTACGAAATCGAGAAGCGATAACATCAGAACGATCCCTACGACGTATGCATCACTATATCGCCTCTCTTTATTTGTAGTTTGAGTTTTGGAATGTAATTAATAGTTAATAAAATTCCTAATTTCTATTTTTAAGCTTTAAAATATCAAGAAAAGTTAATAAATTCGTTTCCTAATTGTTACACCTCACAGGACGGTGATCGGAAGCTGTGAGTTCGAGTTATTTGACTTGTAGTGGACTATTTTGTGGGCTGTTTTGTGTTGCTTTTGGGCTGTCTATTGTGCTTCTGATATATGGAGTTTGGAAGGATAAAAATAGCGTGGAGAAATGACACATGTGGTAGGGTAGTAGGTTGGTCGCTCGTCGTTGTTGTTGCAAGCTAATTGATAACTTGTTGATTCGGTGTATTATGGTATATTTGGGAGTTTTGTTGTATTGAAGGTCCTGGATTGTAATTAGGTTGGTTTTAAGTTGTTGATTGTATTATATTTGTATCTCGCCTATAGTAGGCTTGAGGGAGTAGTAAAATCAGGGGAAATGCTGCCCGTTTATTTTAGAATCGAGTTATCGTTTGAGATACGTAATATACTACCGCCATCTAAATTGTACACATATTTCTTTGCTATAGGGTTGGTGCGCTAGTTGTCATAAGCTTGTTGTTGAGTTGCATTGACGACTTGAGGAATGTTAAGGCTATCCCTTCTTTCTTTTGGCATGATCCAAATGATACAAACGAAACGAGCAAAATATGCAACTTTCTTAATTGACTCTATACATAGAAATACTAGGGGTGTCTATATTATTGATTCCCCATGTGAATTATTATTATATCCTCTATTCATGGGTCTCAGAAAAATATGTATTTGATAAAGTTTGTCCGAAAGGCATATTGATTTTATGATATTCGAGAAATCTTATTAACGTATTTCTTATGCATTTCATGCATTTATACATGTACACTGACCCATGACTAAAAGGCGTTATATACGCATATATTATATGTATATGGGATATGGGAAAAGGTTAAGGCGTTATATACGCACCACCACCTGATCGGCTGGTATACGTTGATGATTTGCCCACAGTGGCCGAGATGATATGATGGGATGCCCTCAGAGGCTTGATGATGTTATGTAAACCTATACCTATGCATGATATGACATTTACATGCACGTGCATGATATTATAAATGTTTCAGGATTCACAAAGTTATTTAGATTCACAGGTGGAATTCTTTACCCTATGTTTCATCATCTGTCTTTTATGTACTGATTTTCATGCTTTACATACTCAGTACATTATTCGTACTGACGTCCCTTTTTTCCTAGGGATGCTGCATTTCATGCTCGCAGGTGTAGGTAGACAGGCTGACAGTCCCCCTTTTAAGATCCTTGATCAGCGAGAGTTGGTGTACTTTATTTGATCCGTAGCTGCTTTGAGTTTTGGTACGATGTGTTTACATACATATATGGGTACGATGGGGCCTAGTCCCCACCTTTATATAGTTGTACACTCTAATAGAGGTCTGTAGACAGTCATGTATAGTTAGATAATATGTGGCCTCGTCGGCTAGCCCTACCGTATTCCATATA